ATTTTTCGAGTCCGGATATTACATTATATATTATAATTAGCACTTTCTTAATTTATATTAAAAAGTTATGTGAATTAACAATAACAACTTAAATATATGCAATTTTATATTATTTATATTCAATAAACATAGTTTTTCTCATTTTCACTGGAGATTTTTTATATAAATTATTTCAAAATTTGAGAACAAAATACAAAAGGTATATTTAATATAATTATACTGATTATATATTTCAACAAATGGTAAAAATATGTGTTAGAAAACTAATATTATATATATATATATATATACACACACACACATGAATTAGGTACTACTGTTACCACATCGTAAATAAAATATTAATTATTTTAAAATTAATTTAATTGTCTTTTAGTTAATATATTTTGATTATATATTTAATTAATATGATTGAATAACGATAAATATATTTATAGAATAAGATTATTTTAATTACTTATGTGCAGAAAATATTAGTTATTTTTAAATTAATTTCATTGTCTTTATTTTAATTATATATTTAATTGATACAATTCAATGAATTTAAATATATTTATGGAATTAATTGATTTAATTATGTATGTGTACCAATTTTAAAACAATTAACATAATCAAACTAATTTTATATTATTCTTTAATCATCATGTTTTTAATAATTATTTGAATAAAGTATTTTAGTTAATAACTTTTTAATTTATATTATATTTTTACTTTTCCTAAAAATACTATTTTTTCAAATCTGTTATTGATAGTATATATATTGTGTACATAATCTTTTTATTTATTATATAATGTAATTAATATAACCTTATTTTGTATATAACTAAAATTATATAAATTAATAATGACAACACTAGATTTTAAAATTAGTTTATTATCTGAGTAATCTGATATAATTTTTTTAATAAGTTATGAAAATATTCCAATAAGAATTTTTATTTAGATATAATTATATGCTTTAAGTATTGTAACAGATCTATACATTTTTTTTCTTTTATATATATTGCACAAGTAGATGGAATGGAGACAACATAAAAAAAATAATAATTAAAAAAAAAAAGATCAATATATATATAGTAATAAAAAAATGAGGGGTCCAACCAATAAATATTAGAAGGGGGGGGAGGCTTAAACAAGAAATGTTAGTCACAGTAGCAAGTCTAGGCGTCCAGGAGTGCCTTACAAAAGAATATATTAGGATTACTACGATCTCTAGGAAGTTGCAACGAAGTGGAGAAAGGAATAATAATAATAATGGCCAAAGGCAAAGACCCATTATTAAAACGTGCCTACCGAGCCAAATTCTATTATAATAACATATATGTATATATATATTATATGTAATCTGTGAAGATACAGATTACTGATCGAGAAATCAACTGCCTTTCCATCACGACCTTGTCATGTCTTATCTTCCTCCT